GCTAAAAATTATGCTGTCATCGTGCCCTTAAAAAACAACCTTGACCTAAGCTCATGCCAAAACTACCGAAACGACAAGCTTACTGTAACCATCCCTTCAATTTAATTGACTTCTCAAATTTGAACCCTCAAAAAAAATCATGTCACCGTCCCTTGAAAAACACCCTTTTAAGACCAGCTCAGCGAACCTGATGTCACCACCCCTTTAAACTCCCACCTATCCCACCAAAATTCAACTTGAATCCCGATTGGTGCAGCCTCTTTTGTTTGAGTCCGATGAAAGCCATTATGCAGACAGTTCCCCCCCTCTCTTCTACCCCCTCCCTATTGTGCAATCAATTCCATTCCCCCCTGAGGCTACGACTGAAACAGTCGGTGCTCTAGAGAGGTCCCCCCTCCGGGTCTCCAGAGAGTCAACACCCACTCTTCCTTCGACTTTTCCTCCCTCCCCTCAAGTCCAATTCCTTCTTGCTGCACCCCTCTCATAATCGTACTAATCCCGGTCGAGCACCCCCTCCCGGTCCTTATCCCTTTAAAAGGGGGGCTTGTACTCTCTCTCTCTCTCTCTCTCTCTCTCTCTCTCTCGCTGTCGCGCTCTCTCTCCCACACCTTACAATGGCTGAATCCCGCTCACACCCCGGTGCACCAGTAATTTGGAACGGATTAATTTCCATAAGCCGGCAAGCTGAAGCTAAAATCTGCAAGAGGGGAGGGATGGAGCCAAGGAGTAGTATGTAAATTGTGATCTTTCTGGGTAGGAAACATAAGATAAATGACGTGTTAAGGTTGTTTTCCCCAAATTTGATTACGAAATTGGAGCGGGTTTTCAGTTCTCTGTGAAGCATACCGGATTCGGTTAATTTGGGGTATGGGGGATGGAAATCAGGTTTTTGGGGTTGAGGGTTTGATGACGTTTAAGGTATCTTAAGGGGTAGTACGTTACTGTACGCAACGTTACGGATGTATTGTCTGCAAATTACAAGTTTTCCCGTGCCTCCTCCACTTGCGTATCGTACTTAAAGTTGAGTCTAACTAGTGAGCCTATGCCTAAGTCTAACCCAAACCTAAGCTAAGCCTAAACCGTGGCTTAAGCTTAAGGCGCCTAAACCACCCGCTTCTGTTCCGACCACCTTCCCGACACTCCACCCAATTTTTTGGACCACCATTCAGCTGTCATCTCCAACCCGCCCCAGGCTCTAGACTTCACCTTCTCCCCCCTACTGAACCGTGCGCCTTCAGACAGCCTAGGACCACCCAAGGCGTGTTTGGGTTTCGGAAAGGATGGGTGTGGGGGGACAGCTCCTATGGGGAGGACAGCCTGGCCACGCTCCAGCCCGAACCGGTTACGCAAACAGAAGACCCAGGGACGGTGAGGGCCCATAGCCCGAGGGGAGGAAGGGATGAGACCCACCCAGAGGGCCCCGCCTGAACCATCATGCGGTCCCGGTTGGGGCTAGCATGTAACAGTTTGTGGGGTGTGCGGTAGTCTGGGGTAGTACTAGTGGCTACATAAGATTACTGTAGAGTACTAAATTTTCTGGGTTTTTGGGTTGCTCTAGTTCTGCTGTTACCGTATTTTTGCCTTGCTTCCTGCTTGCCATATCTATGTTTTCAATTTTGTGGATGTTCTAAAGGGACTAGCAAGTCAAGACTTGGGCGTAAGCTTCAAGTTAGGCTTAGGCCAAGATCTAGGCACAGGCTTACTTAGGGTTCGCTTAAGCCAATTAAAAACTCTCAAGTTTTGGCATTGATATTTTTTTAATTTCAACGGTTTAAAGGAATCTGGAAGTCAGAATAGGCTTAGGCTGCTCCTGGCCTGAAAGTTCTCGCCCCTTTAAAACGTCAAATGCAATTTTCTGCGTTCCTAAAGCATTTTAACGGCCCCTAATTAATTCCAATTACGTAATTTGGTAGTATTCCGTACTCCGGTCCGAAATACACCCTTCCAACACCTCCAAATAGTCCACCTCGTTCTCGATCGCCTCAGGCGTACCGGGTTGTCCCGAAAGTTCGTGTCAACCCCCGCCCTAGAGTCGTCCTCCCCCCATCCCCACAAAAATCCCGGTCCCGTTATCCGTCGAGCGGATCTGCCTAGTAACTGCTCTTGTCGCAGCCGGGGACGACCTATTTCGGTAAGGACGAGATACCCGTCCCCTTCCCCCCTCCTACATCCACCACCTCCCTAGTACTCGAGAACTCCTACCTACCCCCACCTCATGCTGCTCCTCCCCCTCTTCCCCTTTTTCTGATTCCCGCTGCTGATCGTCCAATTCCAGTGCAGCGGTCTCGTCTTATTTAGGTCAACACCTTTTAACCCGGTCTCCCCCCTTTTGGGGGGTGGTTGAGGATTGAGCTAGCCACTTTCATGTTGCTTCCTCTCTCGCTAGTTGGTTGTCCTGAAATTGGGCCGAGATCAGGGAGAACATCAATGGAAAGGAAACGGGGAAGAGATTTGAGACTTGGAACGACTTGATAACCTCTCTATGATCATTCTCTCAATCATTAAACGGTGTTCCCAAATTCACTGGATCCACTCTATCTACTCTTGTTTACCATACCACCCTCTTGATTTCTCCATACTACGGCCCATCTAATTTACATGCGTCAACAACCTCGAGCTGGCATTGTGGCGTACTATTTTCACATTGTTTTCTACATTTTTAAATTCCCTTTCTTTCCTATTTTCGATAATATTTACCGGCTGTTGACTATTTCTACAGTCCTCTGCCTCACCGGTCTAAAGGACATATTTGATTACAACCATCGCCCGGGGCAGTGCTCCCATAATATCGAAGGGGAGGAGCCTCATCTCCCTTGAGACACCCAACCACGATGAGTCACCTCCACTTTAAACTTTTGGTTTTCGTCATTTATTGGCAATATTAAGTCAACGTCTTCCTTAACTTGCTCTTAATTTTCCTTACCTGTATATCCCTATTTTTTAGATTTTTAACTTACTGTAGCTTTTAAAGCCACTTTTTCGAGCATCTACTTTTTATTTGTGCTTTTACCATGTTTTCCTCTTACTCCGGCGGCCTGTTTTTTTGCGACTGTCAGGCACTTTCTTTGAAAGTCGATAAACAACGCTGCGTGCTGGTTTTGCTGTTTATGGGGTTGTGTAATTTGCCCCCTGTCTCTGCTGGTTTGGATTTCGCGTGCCATTTTTGGGTCTGTAGTTTTTTGGGGTAGCGGCGTGGTAGGGCTGTCTGGGGAAAATTTGCTCCGGTTCGGGGGTACAGTAACTGGTAATGTACTTTAGAATGCCATCTAGATATCACGCACCCTGAACCTAAGCCTAAGCTTAAGCCTAAGCCTATGCCTAAGCCTATGCCTAAGCCTATGCCTAAGCCTAAGCCTAAGCCTAAGCCTAAGCCTAAGCCTAAGCCTATGCCTATGCCTAAGCCTAAGCCTAAGCCTAAGATGTCCAACACTTGTTTTAAAGTCTTTTAGTAGTAACGTGGCACGGATGGATTTTACGACATTAACTTCCACATCCCTTTAAACCTCCCAGCTTCAGCTTCATCCCCTCCTATATCGTCAATCACACGCCCTAAACCCTGTATCCTCCTCCTGGTGGATGGTCGTACTGTTTGTGCAGTGACTATCCATCCCGTGGGCATCGTTTTATGCAGCGGCCCCCCTGAAGCCAACGGTGGACACACAAACACACATACAGTTTCAACATGTTGCATCGATTCCACCACCCGCGCGCGAGCGAGCGCACCAGGCCCCGGAGGCGCTATTTGCACAACTCGGAGTCGGGGCCTGGGGGCCCGGAGGGAGTTTTGTAGGCTTTCTGGAGAAGAGGACCAACAAAAATAGCCTGCACCACACAGCGCGCGGAAAGAGGGGGAGAGAGGGGCGCGGAATAGTGGGCTCTTTTTCGGGCCGTTACGGTTGAAACCCTCCGTCGCCCCTACTTTGGTTCCGGGGCCCGTATGGAATGCGAGACTGGACTGGAAACACTCGACGCACGTTGTACTTTTCGGGGGATTGGGAAGTGTAGGGTTGTATCTTACTGTGTTACTGGGATACGGTAGTTTAGGCGATTATACTAGTACCAGCGCCCAAAACCCGCTTCGCGGGCCTTGGGCGCTGGAATGCGGCCTTTGCATGAGAAATTTGACTTTCCGATAGCTTGGGTCTTTCGGACCCCTCCCTTCCTCCGACCACACCCGCGCGTGCAACTTGCAAGAATGAGAAAATTTGTAATTTTTGGAATTATGCAAAGTAGCCCTCCCTGGCGCCGGACACACACACACACAAAGATACGCGACCAAATTATATAAGGTAGGATATCGACTTGCTCTTCCACCTGTCACTATCCCTTTAATCCGCTTTTGATAAAATTTTCCGATTTTTTAAAGGTTTTCCCGGAATACGGTGGATTAAAGCCACGATATCAGCAAAATTTATTGATTTTCTTTATGACACCATCCCTTTAGTAAGTAGTCTTTTGGGTTTTACCATTTTTTTTAGCTCTCTAGGCTATGGCAATCCCTTCCACACGTCGCCGCCCTTTTAGTCTGCTTCTCCTCGAGCTTTTCAATTTTTTTAAATTATTTGGGCTCTGGTATATGAAGGTGCAGATAACAGTAAACTTTACTGGATGCCTTTAAACCTCTACTTTTTGCGCCTTCTGAATTTTTTGAAATTCATACGGTCAGACCTACATGATTTCCTCGTGTCGCTTCCCTTGAATCCTCCTGTTCTCGAATTTCCTATTTTTCAATTTCTTTTTTAAATTACTCCCCTTTTCCAGGTTGCCCCGATGTGCTAGCTGATCTACTCTAGGACCCCCAGAAAATAGCTCTCTCTACCTATACAACAATTAAAAATGAACGACTTCGGGAACCTCTCCTTCGGGAATCTTTCGGAGCCGACGACAGCCTTCAAAAACTCCTCAGCGCTCGAGCGAATGCTGCAGGTACTAAAAAACAAAATATCCCGAGCAAAAAAGCAGTTTTAGACAACTCTGACCCCGAGTTTTTGAACACCCGGATGTGCTCGAGCCCCCGGTCGGATAAAGTTGATTCTCCCGACACCGGGATTGCCATGGGGGAATACCCTGGTCATTCCCCGGATCAATCTGGATCTCGTAAGACTTGGCTCTCAAATTTTACAATATATTTTTAGCGAGTGACACTCACGACGAGACCCCGACCTCCTTGGCGTCGCCGGCAGACTCGAATGGCGATGAAAAGAGCCCAAAACTCGAGCCAAAAGATGAACACCTCGATGATGACGAGAAAATGACCGATGAGCAAAGGATGCAGCAACGTAAATTCATCGAAATCTGCATTAAATCCTAAGTTTAGAGCTCCTCTCCAGCCTCCCCGGCCTCCAGATGTTCAACGCCATGAAGGAGATGAAGACCGACGACAAGCCCCAAACCCCCACCCAAATGTTCCCCAACATGGCCGCCCAGCTCAGCCAGCAGATGCCGAACCCGTTCGCCAACTTCCAGCAGCTGCAGCAGTTCATCAACCAGGGGAACAATCCTCTGCAAGCTTTTGGTGAGTAAAAATTTAGCGTTATTTAACGAAAATCAATTTAGCTGCAAACTTCCCGAATCTGCCCAACCTTCCCCCAATCGCGAGCTCCTCCTTCGCCCCGGCCCCGGTTCAGCAACAACCCGTTTTTACCAACTCCGGTGCAACAAACCCAGACGGAACCCCGGCCCCGCAGAAGCGGAAACGACAGAGGAGGTATAGAAAATGTCAAAGACACAAGTTAATGGTTTTTTAGAAACCCAGTCTGGCCCTACTTTGATGTAATCGACGGGACGGCGCGGTGCAAGCAGTGCCTATACTCGACGAAAAGCGTGTTTTCGACAAATTTGAAGGTGCATCTGCGCAGTCATCATCGGGCCGACTACGACAAAGTGATTGAGGCCGAGGATGCGTTGAATTTGAACGCGTTGCTGTTGTCGGGGAATACAGGTGAGACTGTTAGGGTGGTTTTAAAGGGATTGGGAAGGCAAACGTTGTTATGGATTTTGGATTAAAGGGCCATTGAACGCAAGCTGGTTGAACTTGTTAGGTTAGGGTTAAGGCGTAGGCTTAGCTATAGGCTTAAGTCTAGAAATAAGCTTAGGCTTGGACTATGGCTCGGCCTTGACTTCAGCTTAATGAGCCTAAGACTATCTATATATTCATTTTAAAGGACCACTGAAGCCAAATCCAGAAACCCCCACCCATTTCAGGTCGAGGCCAAAAACGACAGCTCCCTCCCATGACAACCTCCATCCTGCAGACCATCAATAAATGTAAGCCATGTTGCTATTTCCCCCTAATTTTCTCCAGCCCTCTCGAGTTTTACAACCCGTCGACTTCCCGGCGGCGATAAGCCTTAACCGGTTTTTCAAGACGCGTTTTTTCTGAACCCTCACCCCCAGGCCCCGCTCCCCACTTACTTATCTCTTTTTTTGGGGGTCTTGGTGTTGCCAAAGTGCATTGTGAGGGGGCTCCTGATATAACTTGTGAATGGCGCCAGTGCCTGGCAGTTCTGTCAGAAGCGCAGCACCCCGGCGAATGGCACCAAGCAGACAACTACAGTACCTAGGTAGATTTGGGGTTTCGGATTTGCCATAATTCTTTTTGGTTGATGTAAATTCACAAAAAAATGGTTTCTGAGTGCTAGACGCCCGCTTTGGCTTTTGCTTTTCAAGGAAATTTGGATCCTGATTTTCTTACCTAATGGGGGGTACTGTAGTTTAAAAAAATTCCCCTTTTTCCCTCTACAGATTTCTGTTTGTCTGCTTTTTCTGAGCCTCAAAACCTGAACCAAGTTAGAAATATTCCCCTCCAAACCTCCTTAACACCAATTTTCTCAGGTTACTGTAGTTCTAAGAAACGTGTTTTTTCGGTGAGAACTACCATATTACGTGTTTTGCGCAAATTCGCCGCGTTTCTTAGCTAATTCCAGCATAATTTGTTAAAATAGCGATGAGAAAAGCGCGAAAATCGAATTTTTTATCCCCACTACCACATTTTCAATAGATTACGGTATCTACTCCCATCTTGCAGTGGCGAACCAAAGCGTCGGCGGCGATGATTCGAACCCTCTGAACAACGTCCTCCGGCAAACCCTCGCCGCCGGAAATCTCCAACAACAAATGCAACAAGCCGCCAAGAACCTACCGCTCAACTTCATGAACGGGAGCCCGCTCCAGAATAACATCATGGGACGCCAGTTGGCTGAAGCTTTGGCTTCCGCTCAGCAGGCTCAGGCTCAAACCCAGAAACCGTCCACCCCGGTGAGCCATGCTCAATCACCGGCCCCGACGACGCCGATTACAGGTAATACTTGATTTTTATTTTAAGTATAAAATATCACTTTAGCCGCCTCAACCCCTCTCTCCTTCCCTCCAACTCCAAGTACACCATCCACTCCTGCTCCCTCATCTGCGCCTGTTATCGCCGAGCAGTTTTTCAAGCAGTTCAATATTAACTTCCCGGGCAGTAAGTATTTGTCGTTTTGTGGTGAAAATGCCCTTAGCGTCAGAAAATCAATTACTTACGATGTTTCAGATTTTGCTATGGGCCAATCTCCAGTTGAAGCTCCTCAACCAAAACGGCGTAGACTACGGCGCCATCCGGTCTGGATGTTTTTCACCGATTTGGAAGACAGGGTTAGTTCAGTCCAGAGTTCAAACTCCTTCAAATCGGGTCAGCTCGTGCTCAGCGTAATCTCCCAATTTTTAGATGGTCGGCTGCATCAGTTGCACATTCCGCACCGGCTCTGCCTTCTCCACAAATTTAAAAATGCATCTGAAGGCCCACCACAAGGAGGACTATCAAAAGGTTTGTTCTACTCGCACATTCTCTCCTGCTCCTAAAACTATTCATCGCCGTTGTCCACTTTATTGCCCATCTTCAAATGTTTGCCAAGTTCGTATCAGTCTGAGCATGTGATGGTATTGGCTGGGGGCGTGGGGCCAAGTCGCAACTCATTCCAACAGACAAAACGTTTGGAAGGGTGGGGATAGATAACGGGGGCCAGTGCGGTAAAGTATTATAGGGAAAGTTGAAGCTGGGGGAGTGGCTAGAAAATTGGATTTAGTCAATGATTCTACAAAAAAGACAATTCAAAAACTTCCTCTAGCTGTCGAAAAACGGCGATTATTACGAGTTAGGTATCAATTAAATGCTCTTGACGAGCATTGGAGACCAGTTTTTTCTTTTTTTTTTGTTAACCTTACGCTAATTTTGCTATGCTAATTAATCGCTTTACTCCATTTCAAAAAATCTTCTACAGCCGACAAAAAGAAACATTTGAAATTGAAAAATTATGTTTGTAAAAATTGCTTTATCGGAAAACCTAGGAGACCGTTTTTCGTTTTCGAAAACATATCAAATTCAATAAAAACTTAAAATTTCGAAAATCGAAGGACATGTATAATGGTCGGCTCATCGAGACCTATCGATACATACCTAACTCATAAAAATCGGAGATTTTACAGGCTTTTGGACACCTTCTAATCCCCCCAATTCCAGGTTATGAAGCTGGAAGACGAGATGCGAATCGAAGAGGGCATTCTCCACCCCAATAAGATCAAAAGCGAGCTGATTGACTTCATCCGGGGCGGGGGAAACGCCTCCCAAATCATTCCCGGAGCTCAACAGCAGCCCTGCTCCCCAACGGCTCCTAGACCCTCAGCCCTGGTGCAGCAGTTCATCTCCCAGACGTTATCAGCCCCAAATCGCTCCGACCCTGATTACCATCAACACCAGCAGCAAAACGGAGCAACGGCTGATATTGTGACGTAAGGCTCCTAATGTCGTGCCTTGTAACAAGCTTTTCAGTGGTTGTGCTCTTGATGAAGCGACGCTCGCAAAGCTTGGAATGGGTCCTATCAATGCTGGGCTCCAGAAAGAAGGTATTTAATTAAAGAAAAATCTAAGGCTATTTTTTTACAGAATCTCAATACAGTGAAGCTGGTGATGCTGTAGCTTCTGACCTCCTCTCGCGCCTTGGCCTTCTACAGCCCCAAAAGGAAGAACGGACAGCTATGGATGAGCTCCGAAAAGCGGCTGAGAGATTGGCGACCGCGAATGGAAATTCGAGATCCGTTTGCAACCTGGCTGATGTTAGGAACGTTTTGAAAGACGGTAAGGAGCAAGAGATGGAGCTCAAAGATGTTTTTAGTTTCCGATAACAAGACCTCTTCCTCGGCTTCATCGGAGGGTGAAGATATCGTGAAAGGTCGGAGGGATCGAGCACTGGCCCGGCTCGTTACGCAATATAACTTTTTGCATGGGAACCAGTTGTTTAAGGTATGTTTTTATACTTATTATGATGCCTAAAAAAGCCACAAATTTGACATTAACTTAATTACCGTATGATTTTTCAGGAATTCATCCGAACACTCGCCCCAGAATACGAATTCCCCGACCTTGACCGACTTCACGGACTCCACGAGGGCTCTCAAAGCCCGCAAGGAGAAGCCCAAATTGCTGTCCATATGCCTGCTCTATTACAATAGATCATTTTTCATCAATTCAAATCCTAATATATATCCCCAAAATGTGCCACCATTTTCTCAAATTTCCATTCCCTTCCCTTTTGTCAAATTTTCCCTATTTTTCTAGTACAAAATCACGACGCCTCGCCTCTTTTTAGGCATTCCTTTTTCATTTTTTATTTTCTATATTTGGGACTTTTCACGGTTTTTTAAAAATATTTAAAAAATATTTTTAATTATATTTTTAGCGCTCTCTAGCATGCCCACAAGTCTCTCCTAAAATGTGCAATTCCCGCAACACAACACTCGCCTTACATTGTGATCGTTTCCAGAACCCCGTTTGCCCGAAGTCTCTTCATATATATTTTCCATTAAGAAAAATTTGCCATATTTCTACAACAAAATTATTTACTTTTTTATTTGAATTCATTCACTTCCCTCTGGCCCCTATTTTGCACCCCTAGGCTATGTGTAGATGTTGCTCATCATTCACGTTTCGCTGTGTCTTAAAAGTAATCAAAAGCTACCGTACCCCCTCCCCTCCCGATTATTCCACTACAAACTACACCATTGCACTTAATTATCCCCCCTTTCTCTTACTGATGAAAAAGAATTCCTTTTCTCTCAGGGATCCGGAGTCTAGGCATCGGTATAATTCCGCACTTTGCACCCCCGATTTTTGGACCCTATTTTGGGATTCAAATCTTATTATGTCTTCTTCGTGTATCTAAGAATTTGTTGGCATTTCGGACTCGGGGGCACCCGGGCGCAATTCCGGTGTTGTCTGCCGGAAGAAAACGTACTGTGACATGTTTGACTCCGCCTGTCCGTCGAATAAATGATTGAAATATGATGATCTGCATATTGAAAAAATGCGTTAAATCGGTGTTAAAGGGATCGTGAATTCAAACTAAACTCAAGCTATACCATTAACACTTTTAATTAAAAATCGAAAACAACGTTTTGTGCAGTTTTTTGCAGTTTTGTTGAGCAGAAACTCTCCTTAGTTTGATAAAAAAGAAAAAACATGTTTTTCTTAAAAGTATGTCTCAAAAAATTATAGAATACGGTATCAGTAAATTTTCTACAGTTGGTAGCATTTTAAAGACGCAAAATTCGTTTTTAACAATTAGAAGAGCGAGGTAACCTTGTTAGAAATTATGTTGGCCCCTGTATCCCTCATATATATTTATTAAAACGTTGAAACCACGTTTTTATGCATTTTAGAAACTCACGCAATTTGCATACCTCCCCACCAACCTCTACATTCCATTACGCGATGTATTCCCGAGAGCGAGGAACGAGAAAGGTGTGAGAGAGCACACCTTCCCGGAGGACCCAGCCCGTCTCCCTCCTTCCGCCTGGGACCACCCAACTTCTTTGGCAATTTGCCAGCCATGTGCAGGTGCGGAATCTTACACTATTCTATTCGCACCCACGCATCCACTGATTACGCCAGATATTTGGGAGCGTGGGGAGGAATATCGTTGCCTTTGGGTAATGGTCTTGGCAATCCGGAAACCGATATTTTTCGACTTTTTTTTGAGTAAAAATCTGTGTTTCGAACGTCTGGCAATTATTTATTCACTTAAAGCAAATTGTTTTCCTAAACGTCTAACTTTAGTAAAGTATATTGTAAATACACTGCTGGACATAATTTTACGTCCACCTGATTTTTTTCGGTGTTTTGGTAAGCAGGAAGGAGTGTCGCGGAAGCCACTTTTCTGCAGTATATGACACCCAAATAAGCATCTACTGGCACTACAAACATCCTCAGAAAATTTTTAAATTTTTTAAAAATTGACGTTTTGTAATAAAACTGCTCTGGCAAGTGGACAAAATTTTACGTCCACTCGCAAAAATCAACCAAAATTCCGCGTTTTTCCATATTTTTCAATGATTTGTTTTGGCGTTTGGCTCTGGTTGCCGTTTTTTAGTGGTGGGCCACGAGAACCAGTTGTACCCCCCGGTAATGGGGGTCTGACGCCTACAGGAACATCAAAACGGAATTCGACTTGTTTTGGCTTGTAATTCCTAAATTCCCGTCCTGGAATTTGCGTGGGACAAAGCCTCAGCCATGCCAGAAGACGTGGCAGCCGGGGCAGATGGTTGGGCAAGGCAAAAAAACCGATTTCAAGGGGCCGACGTCAGCGAGGAGTTCGACTGACTTCAGGATTTGCACCCTCCTCCCGTTGGGAAAAGCGGTTTTGGTTCCGATTCCATCCGGAAAGTGTCCGGACACCTCGGCGCACCACCGGTCCTGATCGGATCGACATGATTCAATTAAATTTGATTCAGGGAAAGGTTCATTTCCCCAGGTCTCCCCGTGCAAGTGGATTTCCAGGCCATAAGGACCACAGCTTGAAAGTTTCTTAGGATAACTTGGTCCTTTCTGTGTTAACAAGTTAAAAATCATTCGGATGACCACCGGAAAGCATCCCCTGTACGAAAAACGCGTTCTAGAAATCTTTTCGAAGACCTTAAAAAGGTGCTTTCTTCCGACAGTCCGATCTTTCCTTATTAGACCGAATTTGACACGATTCTTACGTTGGCCTTCATCGTTCTGCGGAACCCGATTATGCGCCGAGGTGTCCGGACACTTTCCGGATGGAATCGGAACCAAAACCGCTTTTCCCAACGGGAGGAGGGTGCAAATCCTGAGGTCAGTCGAACTCCTCGCTGACGTCGGCCCCTTGAAATCGGTTTTTTGCCTTGCCCAACCATCTCCCCTGGCTGCCACGTCTTCTGGCATGGCTGAGGCTTTGTCCCACACAAATTCCAGGACGGGAATTTAGGAATTACAAGCCAAAACAAGTCGAATTCCGTTTTGATGTTCCTGTAGGCGTCAGACCCCCATTACCGGGGGGTACAACTGGTTCTCGTGGCCCACCACTAAAAAAACGGCAACCAGAGCCAAACGCCAAAACAAATCATTGAAAAATATGGAAAAACGCGGAATTTTGGTTGATTTTTGCGAGTGGACGTAAAATTTTGTCCACTTGCCAGAGCAGTTTTATTACAAAACGTCAATTTTTAAAAAATTTAAAAATTTTCTGAGGATGTTTGTAGTGCCAGTAGATGCTTATTTGGGTGTCATATACTGCAGAAAAGTGGCTTCCGCGACACTCCTTCCTGCTTACCAAAACACCGAAAAAATCAGGTGGACGTAAAATTATGTCCAGCAGTGTAGTTTGTACGTATCCTTTGGGAATGCAAGGTATGTTTTAAGAGCCGGTTGTGATGAAAAATAAAATAAAACCAGATCCCGAGAGCGCTGTTATATTTTTATTAAATAATCATAGCAAATCAAAGGAATTTTAAGTGTAAAAATCAAGCGTTTACTGAAAAAATCTAATGTCTACGATTTCCTATACTAATTCCGCGATTCAAAAATTATGAAAACAAGCTTTTATAAGGATTTTAAGCCAAATAGGATAAGAAATACAATTTTAACTGTCTTTGGACCTCAACGGCTCATTTTGATATCTTTTTTATAAGTATTTGTTTATCCTGAACCTCTCGATCCCGATCCAACCACCGTCGTCCTTCCCTCTGTTAACCCCCTTTTCCGCCTAAATGCCCTTTTCACTCACCTTGCCTCCCTTTCAACCCATCTCTACGAGTAGATCCTCCCTCGTCCACCTCCTCCTTCCCTTCCTCTGAAAGTTCTTTCGGTCATTTCTTGGTTGCGGAGGAACTGTGCTGTGTCGCGACCCAGAGATTTCAAGAAGCATTTGTGTACACTACTAACGGGACAGACCCCACCACCACTACCACCATCAACCCCCCTTCTTCCCTCGACACACTGCGCTACATAAGATAAGCGCCGATTAGTGACCCTCTGCCCGTCTCTGCCACTCAACTGTTCTATCACCTTTTTGGCTACCGGCCAGGGTTATAATTGGATTAGCGCCTTTTGTTAAAATATGTCTTTATGGTATAAAAACGAGAGACTTAAATTATCAAGCTTCTCAGCCTAAAATAATAAAATTCTCACTTGAAAATGGCATGAAAATGCCCTTTTGATAAAATTTTTTATGCAATATGTATTTTCTTTGGATTATTAGTGTCGTTAATCATTTTTTCGTTAGTTTTAAAACTAGTTATATCATTAAGGACCAATTAAAAGTTTTGAAACCTCCTAGTTTTACTACAAAAAGTGTGATTTTTGTATTTTGAAATCATTACCTAACTTGCATAGCTCGAATACTTAACTATCATTATTAACCCGAAGAGAAAGCCAAATTTTTGATAGATTTACATCTTTCCAAGCTTTAGCGAACTTTACAACCCCTGTAAAACTAACAGATAATTTTCCATCTTGCCTAATTTGCATACATGGCCCAGGTTCTGAAAAATATCGATAAATGCATAAAAATGTTAATTAGATACATTTAGATAGAATTAGAATTATTAGATATCAGAAAAAGGTGTTAATTAGCTATGCCTATGCCGTTCTCCATAATTTTCCCAACCTTCCGAACCCCTTTAAAAAGTTCCGGCGACCCCCATATCCTTTCTTTTCCCCGCTTCTTTGTCACCTGACACATAAAATGCTGCTTCTCCATATCATCTTCCCCCACCTGCGTCAACACCTCTCCTCCTGCCCGGTTTCTTGTGGCAAAACGCCATTGATTTCCTATATACAGGCCGGGCAACCAGATCCCGTAGTCTCCCCCCCTCATAACCGCATAATTTTACAGCCCGGATCCCACGGCAATTAGCTCTGTTTTTTCATCGAATTAGTTCTCTCTCTTTTGCGTTGCTTCGTCAGGTTTGAAGGCCATTTTCCAGGATGAATGGGGCCGGCCACGAGGGATCAGAGAGGCCGCCAGAAAGGAGGAGAGGAGCACGACCTGATGTCCAGGTGAGTTCATTCCGCCAGCTCTTGCTCCCCGGCTGCGTAGCCTCTTATTTTGTGCTTTTCTCCTTCTGCCGTTCTTCCCCCCTGAGGACAGTCATGTGGCTCTTGTTTGGAGTGGAGGTAGCGTGTGTTGCTCTACCTCTCTCTCGAGTTCTGCCCCGCGCAGCCGTTCCACTCTTTGATTAAACCCTCCCCGTTTGCCGTTCGCTTCCCCCCAAATCGCATCATCCCCCAAGACTTTGTGGAGCGCTTAATTCTAGCTATAAAAATTTTGAAAATTATTATTTAACGATGGAGAAAACGGTAGGATTTTAGCTCTTCAATCCATGTATAAAACAATAAAACAGCTTTTAAAACTTAATTTAAGCCCCCAGGAAACCTAGAAGCCCAGCTAAGTACATCTTTCTAGATCTATCGCCCCGGTATGATGCGAAGAGGCATCGACATCACCCTCCAAAACATCCCCGAATCCCCTCAACAAGCCCGAAAACTCACCTCACCCCGAAATTCGCGAGAAAATGGATTCCGTAAGTTTTATTAGCTCTACAGTAAAAATTTTGCGATTCTAGGTGTCTACGAAAATTCGACTCGACGACGACCCAGTGAAGAATCGCAAAATTCTGGGTCTACGACGCCAGACTACCGAAAAGAAGCCCCAAGAAGATCCCCTAGAGGCGGGATGAGGTAAAGATTGTTTTTACAAAACGTTTCAGAATCTGTGTTTTGCATCTTTACATAATTTATTTTTTTAGCAGGCAAGGCGAGCCGCGGAGAGGTCCAGGCGGAAGTGAATACAGTAGTCGCGAGGACCTGGACTCCAGGGCATCTTATGGATATGTAAGTTTTGATTGATACGCAAATTGATGTGTTTTAGAATTCGACCCAATCATTGTTGGACCCTCGGCCAAAACCTGGAGGGTATTTGGATCAGAATCAAAGGGGAAGGGGAAAGCCTCAGAGAGAAGAACGACAGCTTTATCGACCTAGTCGACAGGTCGGATTTTTTGATGCTTTAAAGAGAGAATGACAGACCTAAAAAACCAAGTTCTAGGTGTAGCACCACCTTTAAGACTTCCGTTTAAGGCTTTCGAACGCACCCCCGATCGTTCGTCGATGCGAGCGGAACGGGGAAATCGGCTGGGGGCAAGACCGGGCCGAAACAGAAACGACTCCATTAATAGCACCCAGAGCGAGCGGCCGGCTAGTTTGGTAATCCAAACCTTAAAATTGAAATCATCTTGAACTTTTTAGTTTGTTGATACCACCGAACGTTATGACGATTCGAGATCTTTGGGATATGCTGCTTCTGAAGCGCCTTCATCGCAACAGGTAAATGATAAAAATAAAATGAAGAATTATAATTATAATCATAATAACAATAATAATAATGATAACCCATTTTTCTAGAGCCTCTCCTTTGCCGAACTATGCGCCTCGTTTGATAGTATGAGCTCAATGAACTGGAGCGAGGTACAAAACCCTTAAAGATTTGCCTAAATTTACAAATCTAGATTGTTGAAGATGATTATAACAACCCGGATCCTCAAAGTTTTGATGCGAGGGAGCTAAAAGCTCGACTTCACCAGGAACAGAGCGAGAATGGTGCTAGAAGAAGCTTTGATACAGGTACAAATCAATTTTGATTTTCATGGGCTTTAGAATCCGATCGAGGCTCGTCGGTCGCTGACTCAATCACAGAAGAAAACGGAGAGTCTTGCGAGGAGAACGAGCGAACACCGACGAGGAGCAGGAGCCCGGAATTGGCTGAAAAAGAGGAGAACGAGAAATCGAAGAAAAAGTCTGATGGTCGGATTGCTTTGATGAATATCGGACAGCCAGTCGCTAAGCCCAGAGCTGAGAAAGCGGAAAGGTGGGATATGGAAATTTATGCAAATTTTTTTGAATATCGGCTAATAGCCCACGCAAATAAACCAAAATTTAGAACGCGAAATCGTGTTGATTTTCGGCCAGTTATGGCAACATATCTCCCACCGGCTCTAAGAAACAAAGGTATCGAATTTTCCCGAAGTTCTGTAATTTTGTATAGAACGGACTCCAACCGGAAGCACTCGCCCGGCCCCCCGCCCGGATCGGGACAACGTCAGGTGAGGCAGAAGCTTGCTTTTCCCACCCACCCGCACACCGCTTCCGCCCTCCCCCTGTCCTTATAATCCCGATTTGCATAATTGTACTTAATCTACCTTCCAGCATCCATCCCCTGCATCTACTCCTTATTTGTTAGTCTTACGGTATCAACTAGTACGCTACGAGCCTATGCAAATTGCCTTAATTTTCATTTTGATCATATTCAAACCCCAAATGCCTTTTTGTGTGATTGCCTTGTAATTAGCAGCCTTAATAAATTTTGCCTTTATAGCACTAGGGTTTTTTACAAATTGCCTTATTTTGCTTAACACTAGATAATTTTTATTGTTATCAATGCGTTTTAAATCATTCCGTATCTCATTAAAAACTGCAGGAATTTTGAGCCTTATCCCTGACCCCTCAATCCCAAAAATCCGATCCTCTGATGCAACGTCTACCTGTGAACCCCTGCTTATTTTTGTTTGATCTCAATATTACTAATAAAGATAACCAATTACGGTGTGCCATTAAAACGCTGGGTTTTTCTGGGCTGTCGGCTAATGCTTCATTTGTGTGTTTGAAGAGGGACAGAAAAACACTTTAGAATCACTCACAATTTATCTAGAAAAAACACAAAAAAAAGTTTTCTGTGGTTCTTCTTTAGTAGTAGTTAGAATTACATTTATTTAAAAGCAAATTTAGTATCGCCGAAACCCCCGCTTCATCTGAACCCGTTGAAGACCTTGTAGAATGTAAGCATTCGCAAGGAGGTCTCTCAGAAGAAGCGGAAGAACGGTTTGAACAAAGGGTCAAAAAGGTATTGGAGGCTCATCTTATTCAAAAAATATCGAAATTAGTTAAATGGCGAGCTCGAAAATCTGGTACCCTCCATCTCGGCCCGTGATTTCTTGGCGGCAGATAAGGCCATCGAAATCAGGTTTGCTAACTATTAAATAAAGAAAAGCTCTGTAAATTTAGTCAAGAAATCTCCGAAAACTATATGGAAATCCTGCCATTAGATGTGGAATATTCATTTTCGAACAATTTGGAGAATCGGTTGTGGAAAAATGCGTATCATCGATTGATCGAAGCCTTAAGAAGCGGTATTTACATAAATTGGATTTTGAAAGTTTTATTTAAGGCTCGAATTCGACCAAAGATGGAGCAAGGAAATTGTTGACTTCCTTGAAGTCGTTGATTTCCAATGTAAGCTGGATTGAAAATTCTTTTTATTATTCGTTTTTTAGGGCCTAGTATTCTACAAACGGTTAATCATGCGGTACGAGGAGCAATTCGGCATTCCGGTTGATCAGCTGCTGTATTGGCCCGGAGGGTTCCCGGAGGTTGAGCTGGAGAATGTTTATCTCGGGCAGCTTCCGCTTGATTGTTTGAGTGATATTCAAAAGGTAAGGTGAAATCTATTAATTTTATATCAATTTTAGGTTGCCGCCAAATCGTTGTCTCGGCATTTTTTGGCTTGCGGAAATCTGCATCGTTATTTTGCAATCACGACTGGTAGTGATGATTTTTCGCAAGCAAAGGGGTAAGCCGAAATTTGATTAATTGCATAATTAGGTATACAATTTGGGAAAGTTTCAATAAATAACGAAGAGTTTACAATTTTTTAGTTGCTACCTCCGAGCCGTGCAGCTCTGGCCCGAGGGCGGAACCGCTTATAGCCAATTGGCAATTCTAGCCTACAATACGGTAAGTACCCCCTTGTCGCAACCATTACAAACAAATAATCAAAATTTAAAATCTATACTAATTCGTCCTGAACCCCTTTTTTCGTTCAGATGTTGTACGGTAGCCGTGTACGAGCACGCCTCACGCCCCTTGACCGACTCTCTGACCAACGACAGGTTATTCCTTATTTGTATTTTGGTTTTGTTATGTCTAAAATTAATAGCATGCCGATTTTAACATACCTTGATTGGCATAATCTCTTAGATCCGGGAAATTTTTAGGCGAACGTCATTGATGAAACCTTTTTCTTTGTCCGAGCTCTGGCTTGTGGCCGCCCGTATTGGAATGCAAAGGAGAGAATGAATCAAAGGTATCGGAGCATTAAAACTGGATTTAACTGATTTTAGATTAACGGCAATGCTTGGCAAGATCGAAAAGTACGAACCACTCCTAAATAAAGAATTCGGAAAATCGAAAAACGGGGTATTTTTGCTAGGAGCTAATTTGAAGATGATTTAGCATGAAATCAACCCGAATGAAAATTGCTCGAAGGAAATCTGGATCCGGAAAGACGGAAAATTGGAACCTCGCCGTCAAGAAGAATCTCATCAGGAAGTGGAAGCTGTGTATCTACAAAAATCGGGGAGTACGGTATGCAAATTTTCCAAACTTCCAGAAAATTTGTAATTCCAGCTTCATCGCCGCTTAGTGAGCTATTTTGTTGGAGCCATTGCGATGATCCAGCTGAGGACAAACATGCATAAATTCAAATCGGTATTATTTAAACTCTTGATGTGTTAATTATTCGAATTCAGGTAGCTACACGTTCGCTTTCTTACCTCTCTGCCAGTCTCCGAGCCCCAGACTGCAAACTTTCCGCCCTGCAACTTGCTCAGCTGACCGCAATTTGCATCTATGCAGCGGAAAGTGCGTAATTTAAACCAGTACAAAATATTTTTATCGTTTTTAGCTGCTACAAAGTCCATTTCCGAGTCGGCAGTACGATATTTGATCTCGCTACTTGGTGTTTTGCTAAAATCCGAAGATCAAGCCCTCGTCTGGCCTTCTATCCATCTCATTTGCATCTGGCTCTCAAGTGATGGATCTCAGAAGATACTGGAAAGCACATTAAAGGTAGATATATCCAATCTATTCCCCAAAAAATAATGTTAAGCTGAAACCAATGAAGCTAAAAGCTTTCCCGGTTGATACCTGGGATTTGCTTTCGAAATCTGCCAATGCTGCTCAAGAAGATCAGGCTTTTGACCCGAAAGGTATTTGAATACAAACTATTATGATAATCATTTTTTTAGAAACCGGATACTTACCCGAGCTACTTCTTCTCTCTTCATTTGGTAAAAGCTTTCCGAATCCACCTCAAGAATTTGAGCTCGAGGTTGGATCGATCTGGAGGTTGATGTTTTGATATTTTTAGGATGCAAATGCCAGCAAAATCAGACGATGGTCAGTAGTGGAAGCTTCTCTTGCTTGCTCAAGGCTTCCTCAAGCTCCTATTGTTATTGAGGAAGAGACCCAAAAGTATAACATTTTAAAATAAAATAATTTTAATCTAGATTCCTCCCAAACCTAAGCTTTTCAATTGTTTCGCCATCGTTGGCCGATACTGTAGATAACGAAAATGGTACTCATACGGAAGCTACAATCTATGTGGATCCAGCGGCGGTAAGCAACTCTTTCCAGCCCAAGTTGCATAAAATTCAGATCGTGCCCGATACCAGCAGCTTCATTGATCATTTCAACGATGTCGTTCGGCTATCCAAGCTTGATAATCTGAAGCTTTATGTTTCCAGCGCTGGTATGCAAATTAGCCTAGTTTTATACACTACTTTATTCAGTACGGGAAGATCTACAGAAAATTGTTCGTGCTCCAAAGGGGAGGGATCAAGATGAGCATGGGTTATTTATTCAGGCTCAGGCCAGATCTGTCGTGCAATGGATTGAGGTGGGACTTGCTATATGCAAATTAGCATAATAATGAGTTCGAAAGCATCAAAATGCTAATTTAGCAATCTGCATCTGAAAAGGAGGGAAATGTAGGATTTTTGGAAGCTGCCGCGTCTTCTCAAATTGACCTGGAAGATACGGTAGGCAACCGTATGCAATTTCTGACTTAAAATTTCAGGATTTTGACGATGCGCTCATTAAATCGTGCCTAGAATTGTCAAATCAATTTTCTACAAACAGAACTAAGGTATCAAAACATCAAAACATTAAAACATCAAGTTCCAATCTGTAATCTGCATAATTTTTAAGGTGCCTGGAATCCCGGATGATGCAAATGTAAAGCGTGTCATTCTCCTGACAGATGACCGATCCACCCATTACAAAGCGTCAATCCAGGGCCTCCCTACAAAAACCTTGCCCTCATTCCTCCACTGGTGCAATTAAGATGCTACTATGCTCATATGCTAATTTGTCGTTATGCTAATTAATTTTTTATTATTGTTTAATCATAATTAATGCCTTTTCGCCGCCGCGGGTATTTATTACATTGCTCCATTTGCATACTTCAGTTCATTGCAGGCTTTTCTCTAATCAAAAAGTATACACTTCAGGTTATTAGGTTGATGGGTACGCATTTCCCAAAAGTAGCTCTGGAGATTAGTGCCTTATTCCTCCATTACATTCTGAGTGTTTTTCCATATGCTGTGTTCCAAGCTTTATGTCTACCTCTTAATAAAATGTCGAATACTTAGAGAGATTTGGGTACACATAGGATAACGGGGGGGGGAATAAAATAACGGGGGCACTCATTATTATGAAATTTGCAATTACTGAGGGATTTTGCGAGTGCCATTCGATAGAGCGTCGAAAAATATACTAAGAGAATTAATTTCAGCCCGAAATAATGTAAGAGAAATTTTTTATTGAATAAACAAAAATTGAGGAAAATCTATGGGCAGCACATAGGATAACGGGGGGGGAAAGTCAAATTTTCGAAATTTTCGACATTTTCGGTATTTTGAAAACGTCATTCGATAAAGCGTCGAAAACTGCCCTAGGAAAATTAATTTCAGCCCGAAATAATGTAAATGAAATTTTTTATCGAATAAACAAAAATTGATCAAAATCCATGGGCAGCACATAGGATAACGGGGGGGGAAAGCCAAATTTTTGAGATTTTCGATATTTTGAAAACGCGAATCGATAGAACATCAAAATTACTAAGAGATTTTTTACAACGCGAAAAATGTATTATAAAAGTTTTATAGCCTAAAAACTATTTTGAAAACTATGGGCAGCACATAGGATAACAGGGGGGGAAAAAATTTTCGGCGTTTTGAATATTTTCGATATTTTGAAAATGCCATTCGATAGAAGACCGAAAAATATACTAAGAGTTTTTTTTACAGCCCGAAAAAAGCATATTTAAAAATACTTTTATCATATAAAAAGTTTGAGTGCCCCCCCGTTATTTTTTTCCCCCCCCGCTATCCTATGTGTACCGAGATTTGATTACCGTTATAAAATCAAAAATGACATTTACAAAACAGAGATCTGCTTGCATTATTCGTCAGCATCAATACCTGGCCCTTACCTTTCCATTTTTCATACTCACAAAAATCCAATCCAATCCCGCAATTAATCTCGACACACGAATCCCATTTCGGCGGAGGGGGGGGGGCGGCAATTGGCCACCACCGGATATGGATTTTGTTTTAGATTTTTTGCGTTAAGGCTTAGGAATTCCTTGTTCAATAGAATGAGGTTTAGGCTTACAAACGGGCTTTATTTATCAAAGAAACTTATTTTTTATTATTAAAGCGTCTTCTAAAGTTGGCCTAAGCCTAAGCCAAAGTCTAAACCTAAGCCAAGCCTAAGCCTAAGCCTAAACCTAACGTGATTGGCTATCACCACCCCTTTAAAAACTTAAGAAACTTCTATATGCTTCTTTTTCTTTTTTTGGAACTACAAAATTGTATCCAACCAAAAATCCTCTAGATACCTTTTCCAAGTAACCCAGCCCAAATTGTGACTCCCCTCCACTTCCGCTCCCCCTCCTTCCCCCCAATTGCCCATATTTCTCGCTTCTTAGAAAAGCCGCAGCGGTGAGCAGCAGCTCATCCCTAGCCCCCCAGCCCTGTGTCAGTCATTGTTTTGTGAGGGGAGTTCCGTGTGGAGCTCTGGGTCGAGAGCAAGGATTCGGAATTCGGCCATAAATTGTGAACTTTTTGTGGAGGTGGGCCCCGAGGGCGACCCGTGAGGAATGGCCCGCCGACACAACCGACTCCCCCTCCGCTGGAGCTCCAGCTCGAGACCAACCACGGTGCTCGATCTTCGCCATTTTTGGGGGCTTAAAAATGTGTCCCAGTGCTCAGGGAGAGAGGGGGGTTTGTTGGCCTGGGGGTCTTGAATTAGGGGTTGATTGTGGTAGGGGAGGGCCAGGTGAATGGCATCATTTTGTTTCTATTGTTTGGATTTTATTTTCAATTTATTCTAGAAAATAGTACGATTATAACCTAATTACGTTTTCCATTTTGCTGGTTGCTGATTTTTTATGTTTTTTAGATTAAATCCTCACCTTGTCTTGCCTTGCCAGTCCCTTTAAATCTTTTCAGGAATGTGGATCAAGTCTAAGGCTAATTTTTTCATTTTTTCCAAACTTACTTCACGATTTCCAAGGTCCGATTCCATTTTACACCTCATTACGTGTAGTCCGCGCTCAAACCCAAACATACAAACAGCCCCCCGACAAACCGATGCTCCCGGGCATTCCACACAAGCTGAGCCCCACCCAGCGAGGCCACCTGTTGCTTCGATTTGGTCATTTCTGCGTGTGTGGATGGGGGCGCCGAAGTGTGGCGTTTTGTGGGCCCAAAGCACCTGCTGGATCTTGGTCGCGAGAGCCTTTGTCGGGAGCCGCATTTTCGTTTTTGAACTTCTAGAGGGTGTAGAATCGATTTTCGCACTCTTAGTAGTTTTTAAAAATAAAAATTTGGTGTAAAATTTCTTCATATAAAAATTGTGTCTATGCGTGTAAATTTGCCTGTACGCTCCGGCGTCGTTGTTCCGCACCCATGTTTGGGGAGGAAAACAACGTCAGTAGGTGCAAAACGGACCGGAATCGAGAGCCGATAGAGCAGATTTTACAAAGCTAATGTTTTCGATACTAAAATTTCGTACGTCCACTTTGTTGGGAAGTAATTGGCATACACGTAATTAGCAAATAGGACGAGCTTCCTTAAAACCGGGAACAAGACAAAGATTGTCAAATTTTTCTCGACAGGATTTAGCAAGAACTACGCAAAACCTAGATTTGTACAGGTGCCAAAAGTAAAGTGGTTTTTCAAAATTTCAAAACCCTAGAAACCTCGAAAAATCAGCTTGTTCTACTTCCGGGTGTTCCACCTAACCCCAACACTTCCAACTTTCACTTCTTATCTTTTCTTCACCCCAACTTCAACCCGACCCCAAGATCATTTTACACCCGTTTGACGATGGTTGATGCGGGCTGAGTGACTTTAGCGACGTGTCAAAAGCTGCCGTCCCCTGGCCTCGCCTTCGCAACGCGCTTTTCCAATTTGCACTTCACCCCCCCCCCCCATCTGTCGGCGCCCGCCCTAGGTGAATTGAGCCCTAACGACTCATGATCATATTCGGGCGCACGGGCTTTTTGGCCGGGGGCCCCGTTTCGGGGGGCCTTTGCCTCCTTCACCTTCCGTGCTTACGTCACAAGGACGTGCCACGGGGCTACTTGGGAATATGTTTTTTGTTTTGTTTTGTTCGGAATTCTGATGGTTTTTCATAAAAACAAGAACGAAGCTAGAGACTAAGCTAAGCCTAAGCCTAAGCCCAAGCCCAAATCCAAGCCCCAGTCTAAGCCCAAGCCCAAGCCTAAGCCTAAGTTTAGGCCTAAGCCTAAGCCTAAGCCTAAGCCTAAGCCTAAGCCCAACCTAAGCCACGCCTAAGACTAAGCCCATCATAAGCTTAAGCCCTAAGCCTAAGCCTAAGCCTAAGCCTAAGCCTAAGCCTAAGCCCAACCTAAGCCACGCCTAAGACTAAGCCCATCATAAGCCTAAGCCCAAGCTTAAGCCTAAGCCTAAACCTAGACCTAAGCCCAAGCCCAAGCCTAAGACTAAGCCCAACCTAAGCCACGCCTAAGACTAAGCCCATCATAAGCCTAAGCCTAAGCCTAAGCCTAAGCCTAAGCCTAAGCCTAAGCCTAAGCCTAAGCCTAAGCCTATCGATTTGGCCGATTTCCCAGGGCGACCTCTCCTTATTCGAAAAATGGAACTTAAGAATTAAATTCTTTTTGTGGCGCACCTACTTTCTAAAAATTATTCTTTTACAATGCAGTTTTGCATGGAGATTCCGAAAATCGTAATTAGACCTAAACCTAAACCCAGGCTCACCCTGACTCATAGACTCTACAAAACCCGACCCTACCCTTCTTTCCTCAAACCACCCGGACACATGTTAAAACACTTTCTGGACTCTAGGGGGTAGCAGTAGCAGAGTAAGAGGACACCGCTTCCTGTCCTACAACATCTCCGAGACGAGCCGAAATTGTATCTGATGGCATAGACAAGAAGACGGGGCAACGCCCCAGCTCGAAGAAGCAAATCCTGTCCTTTTTACCCCTCCCGAGTCTCGAAACGAAACGCGGAACGTTAGGAGGGGAGGACGAGGCGGGAGGAGGAAGGTTCTTCCTCTCGTTTGCTCTCGTCCTCTCGTGCTTCCCATCAAAACCAATTGCACCACGGCATCTCCCATTTGAGACATAAAAAGGGTGGGTATGACGCCTCCTTATTTGCGGCGCTTGGGGGGGTTATGTATATTTTAGGAAATGTTTTTACTTGAGAGAAAGGGTTGAGTGGTTTTTTTTGGGGAATTTATGTAAAAAAATCTGAAAAATCTGGATTTTAGATGGGTGAATTCAAAAAATAGTTTATATTTTTTCTTCTTGTCTAGATTACTTTGATGTATGTTTCGTTTAATAAGTTTAAACTGTTGAGTTGCATATAAATGGCTGTATAGGTTTTTGGAACTTCGTAGAATTATCTTGGCTTGGCTAATACTCATGCCTAAAAATGTGCTGCTTTAAGATTGCCTAATTTTTTAAAGGGGCTGGTAAAGCTGGCCGATGCCCTTGGTAAATTAATCCTTATTCCAAAAACACTATACTTGCCCTTATTCATACGAATCCAAGTTGCGTCTCCTCCTTTTTCCCCAAAACCTAAACTTAGACCTCCATCCAACCCATAATTGGACGCCCCTCCTCCAACCTATATATAAAATTGGAATTGAATGAAAACGCCCATTCCACCCGAAACAATTTGTTCTTTGACTTCCCCCTCACTCATCCCTTCCCCCCAAACCCCAATGAAAGCTGCCCGTTTACGTACGCGAGGCTCCGTTTATGTACGCGTCAAAACTGAAAACAG